CAGTTTTGTAGCCACGTGTTCAATTCCTTTATGCATCAAGGATCCTTGGGGTGTAGGTCATTATGTAAAGATGACAGGACGTTATGTAAAGAGGCAGGCTAGGCTGTCTCTAAGTGTCTTTGACTCTTGAAAGGTGGAGAATTGGAATGTAAAGTTTAAGGGGTCAAGATGGAGTTCTGACAACATTTGTTGTCTTAGATTGAAGTTACTTATATGGTGTATTGGGCCTCTTTGTGCATTTTGAGTGGGCGTGCCAGGATGTTCTCCTAGGACTCCGCAGTGTTTCTGATTTTCCTGAAGTCATCCCGTCTTTGTTAAACATGCTCCTTCTTCACATCTAGTTTCAGCTGCCTTTAACTTTCATGACAGAATTTTGAGGAACCCCACCTCTCAGCGCCCCTCCTTCCAGGCACCGGGAGCACAGGGCTGGCACCTGCCCGGGGTCAGGTTCTGTTGTGAGGACTGTGTCCTGCAGGTGCCTGCTTGCTCCCTGGCTTGTGCGCACGTGTCTCTCACCGTCCCCAGCTGACAGCTCTTGGGCTTCTCATTGAGTTACTGATCCATTGTGAGCTCTCACGTTATCTTTTTCTCCCAGACTGCTGTGGACTAACTTTTCAGTCCCTAAGACCTACCAAGAGCCAGAAGGGCACTGGGGAAGGAATGTGGCTCACTTGCCCATGTGATGCCTCTGTGGTTGGCTCGGGGATGGGGTGTGGGAAGAAGATGGCTGGAGTTCATTCCTCTTTGCTGGTGACACCTGTTCTTTGGGAAGCTTCTGCAGCTCCTCTTAACCCTCCAGATGATGGAACGCTCTAAGAGGCTGTGGGCATCTGAGCAAGTAGAGTGGATTTTCAGCATGTAAGTGTGCACTAGTGGACATCAACTTTGGAAGGCAGCTATGTTCACCACTATGCCACCAACGCCGGCAATGGACATCACCTTTGGAGTTCCCTTGATGGAAGTGTCATCTAACCCTCCCCCCATACTGTAGGTCTGCCTCCCACCACTGTGCTAGCCTTATCTACTGCCCCTCCTGCTTCCTGCCTTGTTGGGTGTAACTTCCTCTTCGTCGGAACTTGTTGGACTCTCCCTGCAGTGTTGTTCTGTGATGATGTTCAGTTCTGGGTCCAGTGTGCCTTACAGTTCTTCCTCTCTCATAGTGTTATCCCCTAGAGTCTGATGGCCTAAGTAGAAGTCTTCTTGGGTTGGGGGTTGAATTAAACTTCTGTGTATTACTGCACAAATGCCCCCAGGGTATAGTCTAGCATGTCCTTATAGAAATGATGCTCGATGCCTTATAGTGTATGATGGTGACTGGTTCTGTGAGGGTCTTAGTCATTTGTCTTACATGGGCAAACACTGACCTAGTACAAAATGCCAAGGGTGGAGTGAGTAGGACCCCAAGGTGAGAGGATAGAGGAGATTGTCTTTCTAATATCCAGCCTAAATTACTGAGATGGAAATGCTCTTGGGGCTGGCTATACAGTCCCTCTCTTTCATTTTCCCTCTTGAAGCTGCTTAGTAAATTGCAAGAGTAAGGGGAAAATATGGGTGTGGGCTTACTTCTTGGGAATCCATTTTTTTAGTAGAGAGGATTAAAAATTAGGTGCCTCTTCTCTTCATTTTTTTGCTAACAGATTTTCTCTCCCTGTTACAGTGCAAGATTGATTTCTGTCTTCAAAATGTGTTCATGGAGATGAGGGCTTTTCATAAAAGCATTACAAATCATCCACAAACATCAGGCATCTTTGGGAGAAGTGAGGCTGTGTCTACAGTGCTCATTTTTCACAGAGAGCGGCACCACCTGACGTCTCCCCGAATTTCCAATTTCGGATTGTCCCTGTCTGTCTGAGGCTTGGGTCTGTGAATTCCAGATGAGTTTGTTCAGGCTTTTAAAATGTGCATGGTTTGAGGAGAAGGAGCAGTGACAGCTGATTGACACAGAAATGGCTATGGAAGCCAGGCTGCTTCTGATAAAACCCCTGTCTTCGTTGAGTGCTGGCTTGTCACCAGTGCGACCATATTTCGTAGTGATTTCACAGTATTATCTCATTGACTCCTTCCAGCATCTTCTGAAAGAGAGGAGGAGGATTAAGTCCACATGGCAGGAATGGAAGTTGAGAGCTTGAACGTTTTTGTGGCTTAGCTTTATACCAAAGCAAGCTAGTGGCAGAGAGGGGATAAGAGCCTAATTTCTTTTCCACTGTATTTAGAGGGACCGAGGACCTGGGGAAATGTTCCCTAGGAGTCTATACAAAATAGTTTCGTAGGTTGTATAATAGCAAGGAACTCAGATGTGATCAGAAAATTAGTCCTTTAAAAGATCTGGATTTTTAAGTAGGAGTTTTTTTTTTCTTCTTCCAGTTCCTAGGGTGGTATTTGGACCACAGTAGGCACTCGGTACTGTTGCAGTAATAAGCTCTCCTTTGCAAGCCCTAAGATCTGAGAAAAGAGAGCGCTGAGTTAAGTGCAGAGTAGAGAGAGAAGAGGGCACACCTATGTAGCTGCGGTCCAGGGGCTTTGAAAAGGACCTCAGTGGCAGCAAAAGATGTGGTGCAGAACGAACCCCATGGTGCCTGCATCTCAGCCACACACCACTCGTTCATTGGATCCTGTACGTTTCAAACAGACCCTTCCAGGGAGTTTGTTTCCTGCATCTTTCATTTAGTTTCTGAGGCAGACGTCCAAGGTGGCCTAGGACCTGCATGGCCTGATGTCTCCCTCCTTTCCAGCTTCCTGCTGGCTTTTGACCCATGATTTTCTGACTTGGAAATCCAGCGTGTTGCTCAGATAGGATTTCTGGTTTTGGGTTTTCCTGATGCCTTCATGCCTTGGCAGTGGTCTCCTCTCATTGGGTATTTGGGTGTGCTCTTTGAGACCCTGGGTTTCTTGATGCCTGACTCCTTCCCTGACTTCAGACCTGAAGCCAAGTCAACCTTTGGCTCTGGTCTCTGCTAGCCTCTGCCCTTTGACCTGAAATGTGTCTTAACTTCAGCTTTGCTATTAAAAAAAATTTTTTTTAATGTTTATTTTGGGGGTAGGGGGAGAGAGACAGAGCATGAGTAGTGGAGGCACAGAGAGAGAGGGAGGCACAGAATCTGAAGCAGGCGCTGAGCTGTCAGTGCAGAGCTCAATGTGGGGCTCAAACTCATGAATTGCAAGATCATGACCTGAGCTGAAGTCAGACCCTCAACTGTCTGAACCACTCAGGCACCCCCATCTTGCTGTTTTTAAAAAGTCTTTTCACCTGACCACTCTTACCATTTCTATGTAGGGAATAAGTTATGTTTTTAAGATGAGAGCAGGACAAATGATTGAAATACCAACTGGTAGAACTTTGAAATAATTTTTGTCAAACTCTGCAATTTACTGTTGAGGAAACTGGCCTAAAGAAGGTTAGTGAACTCTCTTGCTTCAAAGAGAGTTGATGGATGAGTCAAGGGTAGAGCCCAGTGTTCTGTTCCCCCATTGTCTAACTATCTGGTGTCTCCTATTTTTCTTAAATTAATAAAAACATCTAAACTCCACTGGCAAAGGAAAGGACGAGTAGAGACCTCTTTGCTAATGGATGGCGCACACTCCTTTCCTGTGTCCTCTGCCCTTCTTCATCAGCACTTCAGGTCCTAAGGCAGGAGAGGAATTTCAAATACAAGTGCTCTGATTGCTTAATCCTTCGAGTCTCCCAAGAGTCAAGATGATAGGCCATTAGCAAAAGCATCACATTTGATTCCCATAAAGAAGCCGGAGGTGATCCCCATGGCAACCAGGACCAGAATGGAAAGGGCAGTGGGTATTGCGTCCTGGGGCTAATTGTTGGGCATAGAACACCAGGGACCACAGATGTGATGAGCTCCATGGGGCCCGTGGTCTCACGCTGGTAGCATTGGACGCCAGCCAAAGCTTGTCAGTGAATGAGCTCGAACAAACATGATTTGTTAAGCTGTATAGACAAGAATCAGAGTCAGAGAAATTCACGTTTGAGATTGGGCCTGGTATTTTGTCCTGGAGCTGTCTATACCCGGTTTGGGGCAGGGTACGAGGTGCTGGCTTCATCAGAGCCTGACAAATGGGGCGGTGCCCGGGGGCACCTAACCTCGATAGGCCAGACTTGTGTTTTGTGCTGTCTCTTCTGTAAATGCTGTAATGTCCCCTTGAGTTCTGTCTCAGGGAACAGCCCAGACCTCGTAGGATCTCCCCTTGGCTCTCTGTCCTGCAGGAGGAACAGCTAAGCCAGGTGTAATTTGGGGTGGAGTTCACTTACAGGGGTGATGGTCTTAGATGTGAATGTGCTATGGGCCCAGTTCACTTCCTCAGCCTTCCACTTCTTAGCTGGCGATGACTGCAAACCCTAGGCCAAAGGTCAGGTTGCTGAAACCACGAGAGAAGTGGCAGTGGTTTTAGACCAGTTTGGATATAAGTCTAGGCTGTTTCCTGCCCCGAGTACCATGGTGTTGTTTCCCTGCTTACTTCCTCTTGTCCCCTGCTGCTAAGCTTTCTTCCGTCTACCTCCTTTCTTCTCTGTCCAGAAAGGCCACACTTTCTAGCAGACATTTTCATAGCTTCAGGGGCCCGTGGCAGACACAGCTTGATTCTCTTGTTGGAGGACATGCTGTTGGAATGGCTGCTGCAGGTTGGGACTGAGAGACACTTACAGTGAGAAACCTCTTCCATTCAGCAGTCTGTGCTCAACACACCTTCACTGAGGCCTATCATGGCCAGGACACAAAGGTGAATGATGGAAAACTTCCTAGAGGAGGTGCTCCTTGAGCTGTCTATTACATATGTAAGCCAAGAAAGATCAGAAGGGAATTCCAGCCAGCATGATCTGCAGGAGCAAAAGCATGGAGGCATGAAACAGGGGACCGGGGCCGGGGGGGGGGGGCGGGGGAGGGATATACAGAATGTCACAGGTGTTCGGATTTTGGTAGTGTATGAAGTGAATCAAAGCAGGAGACTGAGACAAGAATATGGGAATCATTTTTAATCATGAGTTGGCCACACTGTGGGTTCTATCACTATTGCTATTTGAAGTCACCTTAACAAAAGCTATTTTTTTAATCTGTTAATAGGGCTTTAGACATTACAAAATAATGGTTAATTCTCAAGTCACTTAAATCTGGCCAGAGGAAGTGGCCAGGAGAGAGCGTGGGAGTAAGGCCCGGGTCTTCCCCTTCTGTCAGAACGTCCATTTGATGGGTGAGGGATCTGCTTGCAGCATTTCTTTGGCCCTTGACTCTGTGCAGCTGCCTCTCGGTGGCCCCCTGGGCCAGTCCACAGGTCTCACCTCCCCCTTCCGGCCTCATGCACTGGCTGGTCTCAGACTACTCAGTTCACCTTCTGAACTTCAGTTTCTCCCCTCGTGAGGAAGGATGAATAGTCCAGAAACCTGGTGGGGAGCTTTGCTTGCTCTGAATGCCCCAGCTTCAAAGACCGTGCCAGCTACGATTTTCCTGAATGGTGGTTTGATGTTATTAAAAAAATATACCCTGGAACATTTAAAAAAATGAAATAAAAATCCAATTGTATGTAATATTACAAATATATAAAGTATTAAATAAAAATGTGATATACATGTAAATGTATTTGTGTATGTCCTTATATGTGTATAATATATCCACACACACAATTCAGGGTATTAGTGCAGCTGTATTGTCCTTGGCTCGCATTTTAAAGTCATCTTTGGATTTTGGAAAAAAAGTATGTAAACCTATGAGGACAGCCGCAATGAAAACTGCAACCCCCATCCTTCTTTTTTTATAGTAGAACCTAATTGGAATCTATATTAACCATCTCTTTTGGGCATACAGGGTGGGAAAGAGCTTTTCACAAGGAAGTAGGTTAGTATGAAATGGAACATGGCCTGAAGTCATTCCCAGGGCCAGTGTGCTTTAGCTCTTAGAGATAATGAGGAAGCCATTCAGTATATTAATAATACAGTAGCTCCCATGTATCGGGTCTGATGCTCCTGATGCTTTTTCTCTAACCTTCAGACAACCTTGCGAGGAATATATTATTTTCCCCGTTTTGCACGTGAGCACACCGTGGCTCAGAGAGGTTCAGCATTATGCCCATAGTCACAAAGTTAGTGCACAGGAGTTGGAGTGGGAACTGAGTCTGGCAGGAAAGCTGGTTCTTCCTTCTCGGCCACCCTGCCCCTCCTCTAGGGTAACCTTATTGTGTGTGACACTCACCGGCCTGAGCGTTCTAGGAGCATCTTGGAAAAAGGAATGTCTCTGTCTTTATCTGGGAGATGGATGTGCAATGATTTTTTTTTTTTTTTGAGCAGGCACAAGTGAGCGAGGGGGAGAGGGGGAGAGAGAGAGAGAGAGAGAGAGAGAGAGAGAGAGAGAGAGAAGCTGGGCTCACCCGAAACAGGGCTAAGCTCACCTGATGCAGGGCTTGAGCTCATGAACTATGAGATCACGACCTGAGCCAAAGTCAGATGCTTAACTGACTGCACCACCCAGGCGCTCCAGACATGCAGTGATTCTTGAATATGGTTATGTGAAGGGCACAATGCTTACAGTCAGGGACAGCTGATTGCCTATGCTGGGTGCAATAAAGTATTGTGCTGTTAACCCAGTCATTGTAATCCGTAGCTAATTTGCTTTGCTAGGTGGATACTCACTGTTTACATGCTCTGTATCTGCCGCTGATGCTAATGGCAGCCCCCAAATGTGTCTCTGTGCTTTCTGCCAGAATGGCTGTATGTTTTCATGACCTCATCCCTTGGACTAACATTGACCTGTACAAGGATAGACACCTGATCCAAGCGGGGCCATTTCAGGTAGCCTGCCATCTTGGCCACTGTTGACTGGCCCACGTTTGGGAATTTGTCTGGATCTGGGCTGTAGAGCTCCTTAATTGGGATCAGAGAAAGGAAGAAGTCAGTCTGTGAGTGCTGAACTCTTTAAGACCCACAGCTCTGGGGTTGTCGACCATGGTTCTTCCACACGGGTCCACACGGAGACAGAGAATGAAGAGGCACAGGGGAATGGAGGGGAGGCCATGGGAAGACCTCTGGTGGCACCTGTGTTCCTGCTTTGGGTTGTTGCTGAGGTCGGAATAGTCCTGGCTTTGGGTCCTTGAAACACCTCAGTATATATACTTCTTTGTACCTTAGCTATTTTTGGTTGAGCTTCTGTCTCCTGCAGGCTATTAGCTTCACGTTCTCAGTTTGTAGCTTTTTTTTTTTTTTTTAAATAAACCTAATATTTGATGAGTGGGGTTCCAGAGAAGGCTGGTTATTCAAGTGTTCAGAGCATGAGGCTAATGAAGCCAAGGGTTTGCCGTGTATTGAGATGCTCTGTGCCACATTGGCCAATTCACTGTTTCTCTGCCAACTGTTTTGTAGATTGTTGATCTTGTTATTTTAATAAAGTTGAGCTTTGGGCCCATTTCTTTGAAAGGGGGTGGGTAGGGTGCTGCAGCACCAGAACTCCAAACCCTTCAGCCATAAAATAAAAGTCTGCTTGGTAAATCTTGGGACTGATGACAGACATGTTCTGGACTGATGGCAAAAGCGTTTGCCTCTTGCTCTCCCACTTTTGGTTTGGTGTGCTCACTCGCTGTATCTGTTTTCTGACCTCCGAGCTTGGCCTCTGACTTTGGCTTTCAACCAGCTCCATCTACACTGTGACTGTGATATATTGGTACCCAAGTTCCACTTACTAGATGGTGAGTTTTTTTCTCCTTGTCTGGGTCCTGGGTCAGCTGAAGCCTTGTTTGAGTTCTGTCTCAGCTATTACCTTTGGCAATAAGAGAAAGCATTTACAAGTATGTGGCTAGGGGCACTGGGTGACTCGGTCGGTTAAGCATCCAACCTTGGCTCAGGTCATAATCTCACAGTTTGTGAGTTTGAGCCCTGTGTCGTGCTCTATGCTTTCAGCTCAGAGCCTGGAGCCTGCTTTGAATTCTGTCTCCCTGTCTCTCTGCCCCTCCCCCACTCATGCTCTGTCTGTCTCTCTCAAAACTAATATTAAAAAATATTTTAAAAATTAAAAGTATGTGGTTAGATCAGTTAAAATTCATGATCACTAGTTTTGAACACAGATCAAATGTCATCTTTGTTATAAAAAGTGGCCTTCATATTCATGTTCAGATGAGTTCAATTTGCTCCAAAGCCTAGGTGAAAAACAGAGATAGCAAGGAAAGATAATGGCCTTTTTTCCCCTTCACATACCTTGGAGCACCTTTTTCCAGTCACATTACACAAAACATATTTTCTCTGTTCTTATTTTTAAATATATTAACATACATTTGAAGTAAAAAGATAAGAGAAAGTAACTTCTTTTTTTCAAGCAAGTTGATACTCTACCAGTGATTTTATTGTGTACATCTCAAGCATCACTTTGAACAATCACCTATTTCCAATGCAGTTAAGAGTATGTTACTCCATACAGTTCCCGTTTGGTTTTAAAAAGCATTAATGCTTGAGTGAACACTGAATGGCTATTCTGCAAAATGAAAATAAGTAGCTAATCACTTCTGGATCATGTCTAACAGCTCTTGGCTATTACACTGAAAACTGCCTTTGGGATTAGGGGAGGTGGTTAATGAGACTGGCTGTACCCCTCCACAAAGACCCAACTCCTGGTGTTTTGAATGCTCAGTAGATACATGCAGAATGAGTATAAATAGAAAGCAGTGTTTGTTTATTGAGCTGTATCCAAAATTGGGTATGCATGTGAGAGTCCTGCTCAAGGGACATGCCCCCAGGCACCACAGGGCCCTTCTGGATTCAGGTTTCCAGGGTTTTGCTGAACGCTCTGGGCCAACATAGGCTGTTTCTTCCCAGATTATTGGTGTGATGTCCTACTCACATTGAAGTGGTGCTGTTCATCCTCATGTATCATCAGTTGTTATCTTTTTTGTTCCTCCTTTTCAATTTAAATTTTAGTTAGCATATAGTGCAATATTGGTTTCAGGAGTGGAACTCAGTGATTCATCACTTGAGTACAACACCCAGTGCTTGTCACAACAAGTGCCCTTCTTAGCCCCCATCACCCATGTAATGCCCATCTCTACCCACTTCTGTCTGTCAACCTTCAGTTTGTTCTCTGTCATTAAGGGTCTCCTGTGTTTTGTTTCCTTCTCTTTTCTGCCCACCTCCATCTCATATGTTCATCTGTTTTGTTTGTTTAATTCCATATATGAGTGAAATTGTATGATATTTATCTCTTATTGACTTACTTTGCTTAGCATTATGCATTCTAGCTCCATCCACATCATTGCAAATGAAAATATTTCATTATTTTTGATGGGATGGTAATATTCCATACTGTGTGTGTGTGCGTGTGTGTGTGTGTGTGTGTGTGTGTGTGTGTATAAAACACATCTTTATCCATTCTTCAGTGGATGGACATTTGGGCTTTCTCCGTAATCTATAATTATAGTAGATAATGCTTCTATAAACACGGGTGAAAGTATCCCTTTAAATTAGTATTTTTATATCTTTTGTATAAATACCGAGTAATGCAATTGCTGGATCATAGGATAGTTCTATTTTTAACTTCTTCAGGAAACTCCATACTGTTCTCCACAGTGGCTGCACTAGTTTGCATTCCCACCAGCAGTGCAGGAGGATTAACCCTTCTTGCTGTTGTTTGCATGCTGTCTTGAGCATGGGCGTGTTGTTGAGGAAGAGAGCAAAGCTTGCACTGCTGTGAGGGTGTGGCTCAAACAACAGGGACTTGTTGGAGGAGGAATAAAGGAACAGGGTTCCCTTTAGGATATGAATGACAGGAAGCTCTCTTGTGTGTTGGAAGGTAGAAGGCAAGGCCCTCCCGGCTCCCTCACCCCAGCCCGTCTCTGGCCTTATCTCTGCTCGTAGGACTTCGCATTTCATGCCTTAGTTTTCAGTTACATTACTCTCTGAAGCAACGGGGTGTCTCCACACTGTTGCTCACACACTGTTCTCAGCCTGGACTGTATTTACATGCACTTGATCCTCTATCTCTTTCTAGGAATTATCTCCAGTGTCCACAGTCCAGCTGACATATTACTTCCCTGCGCTGTCCTCCCTGATTCCGATAGACACAAAAAGGTCTTTCTCAGAAATTCCATTACTTTTTATACCACATCTTGCATTTAGATAGATGGTATCGAAGGGTATGTGTTTTTCTGTGACTTGCTTTCCCTCACTTCTTTGTTTTCGACATTGACCCACATCGACATTGATTCACATGGATGTGGGCAGCTGTTCATTTGCTTCACTGTAGAATATTCTGTACTTTCAGTTTGCCACAATTTATCGATTTCCTTGGCAATTTGCATTTGAGTTATTTTCAAGTGGTTACTCTTTACCTAACTTATTGCTCTGTGTTCAGTGCACGTGTGCAGGTGCTCCTAGAATGTAGAACTAAAAGCAGAATTGTGGTTCATATGGTCTTTTCAGATTTAAAGGTGATGTTAAAGTATTTTGCAAAGGGATTGTCTTGCCAACCAGTATACGAGGGTGCCCATTGTCCTGCATTTATATCAAAAA